TGTTTGTTTTTAAAAATCAATAAAATTTTTATAAAAAAATAAAAAAAAGACAGAACTAGAATTCACCGCCTCCTGGGGATTGGCCCAAAGTCACCCAGATGGCTTTCATGCCTAAGGCAGGACTAGAACTCCCTGTCTCCTGGCGATTGGCCTAAAATCACCCAGCTGGCTTTCATACCTAAGGTGGGACTAGAACTCACCACCTCCTGGTGATTGGACCAAAAGTCTACCTTTCAGACTTAAGACAAAACTAGAATTTACTATCTTCTGAGGATTGGCCCAAAGTTACCATCCAACTTTCATGCTTAAGACAGAACTAGAATTCACCGTCTCCTGGGGATTGGCCTAAAGTTATCCAGCTGGCTTTCATGCCTAAGGCAGGACTAGAACTCACAGCCTCCCAGTTTCTAGCCTGGTGCCTTAACCATTAATCCAAACCAACTCTCGCAAATGTTTCTTGTCCTTCTTATCGGGGGATTAAAGATGACCCAACGGATTCCAATTATAGTGGATTAGTCACACTCTTTAGGACGTGAACATTTCCAACTATAGAAAGGGTGTCACTGACGGGCAGGGAGGAGACAGAAGCAAAAGAGAGTCACTGTTCAGAAAAAATGCTTTGCAGCCCTACCAGGAAGTTCTCCGCTTCCAAATAGGATTTGTCTTCTCGGCCAAAGGTTAAATGCTCCATGAGATCAGAGAACAAAAATGTCCTCTCCCAACCTATTTGGAGAAAAATCCCTGGAAATATGGAAGGAGTGTCTGGAATGTGTCCTTTTGCATGTATCACACTTATAAACAGCATCGGTTGCCTTGAACGATAGCCCCTTGCGGCTGAGCAAGGCCACACAACTAACACAGCAGCTCCGAGGAGACCTCTGCTGCCTATAACAGGGTATGAGAGGAGAGAGAGAAAAAAAATCCAGTTCTGGGCCATACTGGTACAACCATTTATTTAGTGACCATTCAATGTTACGACGGCACGGGGGAAAAAAGTGACTTAGAAGCTGTCATGCCTCTGAATCCGAGGAGGAAGACGAACAGCTGACAGGGAGGGGGAGTGTGGCTCCATTGGCTGTGGAGGAAACTGGGGAAGGGCAAAGGCCGGCTGGGAAGAGCAGGAAAGAGGTAGAACAAGGGAGAGGCAGTTCAGGGGAAGACCCAGGCCCACCCTCTCTTCATCCTAGGGCACGCAGGGAGGAACAGAGAAGGGAGCAACGTGGGTTGCATGGCTTACCGGGGAGAAAAGGGCCCTGATCCCCTTCATTAGCAACACCTGGGATGAAAATGTATAAGAATTGAATGCTGACTGTGGAAGCTGCTGGGAGCAAACGGGACTTTATCCTGTCTTGTCGTGACTTACCTTTGTTCCTGGTATCTTCCCAACCATGTGAGTTTTGCTGTGCCTTCACGTCTGGAATTCCTTCTCCTGCCCTGCCGAACTAATTACCTCATCTTGCCTTGATTGGACTTATAGTTACAGTTTTGGTTGACCATGTTTTGCACTTGATTCTCTGCAGCCAATGGCTGCTCCTGGGAGAGTTTGTCCCCAGCCCACAGGGTAACCAGGACATTGGGGGCGAAGTTGGACTCCTACTGATTATCTGACTGTGTGGCCTTTGTGCCACGCCCCTTTGGGTCAGCACAGAAGCATTTTTCAGACTTATGACAGTTGCAGCATTTTTTGGTTGTGATCAAAATTCAAACGCTCGGCAGCTGGTTTGCATTTATGACGGTGGCAGCATCCGAGGGACTCACGCAATCCCCTTTTGTGACCTACTGACAAGTAAAGTCAATGGGGAAAGACGGATTCGCTTCACCACCGGCTGACTAACTTGAACCAATTAACTTAACAATGGTGACCAGAAAAGCCACACAGTGGGGCAAAACTCACTTGACGGCTGTCTTGCTCGGTTGCCAGAAATTTTGGGCTCAATTGCGGTCGTTAAGTCAAGGAATAGCTCTACTCTCGGAAACTGGGGAGACAATTTGCAAAATTTTGCAAATTCCCAAGCAGACAAATTTTGCAGTTGATGGTGGCCATCCATCAAAAAATAATGGACAGTAGTCCCCGAATTACGACCGTAATACTGCCGTACGTTTGTGAGAGCCAGAAAGCAGGTCATCACATGACCAGCTCAATTTTAGGACCTTTCGTTTTTGAGCTGGCTGTTAAGCAAATCGCCAAGGGTTAAGTGAACCTCTCAGTCACTAAGCAAACCCATTGTTGGCTATTGGGGGGGGGGGGGTATTTTTTGGTGTCGAAAAGCGGATGCAAGCAATGGGTTTTGGCAGAAAAATGTTGTCAATTGTGGTCACATGACCTTGGGAGAGTGCAAATAGCCATTAATGCAGACTGATCACCAAACTGGCTATTGGAACTTGAGTCAGTGGTGGCTAAACTTTTTCCGGCTCCCGTGCTGATAATTGCGCGCGCACTCGCTTGCGTGCGCTCGTGTGCCAGCACCCAGAGGGCAATGCGTGCTGGCCCCCCCCCACAACTCCTGCGCATGCGTGCGTGCCCCTCCTTGTGCGCCATGCGTCTGTGCATGTGATTCCCCTGACGCACCACACATCCCTGCGCATGCATCTCCCGCGCAACCCCCCCTCCACCCCTGCGCATGTGCACCAGATACCGACAATCAGCTGTTGGGCGGCAGCGCACATGCACAGTGGGGCTCTTCCAAGCGACCTCTCGTGTGCGGGGGAAATGGCTCTGCGTGCCACTTCCGGCACGCATGGCATAGGTTCTCCAACACGGAACTAGGTCATAGGTACAGTACCTTTTTTTGGGGGGGGGTGTCTTGTCATAACTTTGAACAATGACTAAGCAACCAATCCTAAGTGGAGAATTACCTGTACAGACCAGATTAGCTTGATCCCCTCCTCTCTCTGGCAGCCCCTGAGATATTGGAACGCTGCTATCATGTCACCCCAGTTCTTCTTTTTATTAAATTAGACGTACCCAATTCCTGCAACCATTCTTAGTATGCTTCACCCTCCAGACCCTTAATCCTCTTTGTTGCTCTTCTCTGCACTCTTTCTAGAGTCTCAACATCTTTTTTAATATCGCGACGACGAAAACTGGATGCGGTATTCCAAGTGTGGCCTTACCAAGGCCTTATAAAGTGGTATTATCACTTCTCGTGATCTTGATTCTCTCCTTCTGTTTATGCAGCCTAGAAGTTTGGAGAGTTCTGGTTTAATTGATAGCTCCCTGGACTTCTTTGTGGGAAAAAGGCAGTTCTCCCAATCACCCAAAGGCAGGACAAGAAAGAATGGGTGGAAACTAACCAAGGAGAGATTCAACCTAGAACTAAGGAGGGAATTTCCTGACAGTGAGAACAATTGATCAGTGGAACTTGCTTGCCTCCAGAAGTTGTGACTTGCTCCAACACTGGAAATAATTCTAACTTAGCACCTTTAAGATTTGTGGACTTCAACCTCCAGAATTCCTCAGCCAGCATGATACAGACAGATAAATAATTCCTGATACACAGCATACACTATAACATCATAAAATGTTTCCATTGCTGGCAATAGAAATTTCCAGTGAGATTCTTTCCCAAATTGCAAAAGCAGATTCAGGAGCGTCTTCAAATTTCACGCAACCTTCTCCAACCGTGCCTTCATCCTTACACCCACATGCGCCTCGTTCTTTCATTTGAAGTATGTAAACTTGGGGTCTCTGGGAAATTAAATCTCTCAGGTGTCAAATCTGCCCGTACCTGACATAAAGAATCTTCCAAAGTACAACTTTGAATCGAAGAGTGCATAACTCTGCATTATTTACCACTAAAATAGTTACATAGCATTCTCATAAAATACGAATGCTTGTGTAAAATGAGAACTTGGAAGGTTTCAAAGCAACTCACAATTAAAATTTAAAATCATAAACCAATTTTTTTAAAAAAACAGTGGTTACAAGACATGCACTGAAATGGACGGAACCGCCAACGAAATCATTTCATCTCTTATCTCTCTCATTCACGCGGGCGTGATCTATTAAAACAATACAAAAATAGCTCTTCGGATTTATCCATTATCACATTTATGTGTGCCTTTAATTGTGCATCTCAATCTCCTGGGCCCTATTTTCTTCACCACAACCACCCTCTGGGAGAGCAACTATCTCAAAGTCATGCACCCAGCTGGATGCTCCCATCAACAAGTTGGTCACCAGATTCTGCAACCAGCTGCAGCGTTCAGACCAGGTACAGATAACAGATAATCAGAGTGGGAAGGGACCTTGTAGGTCATCTAGTCCAACCCCCTACCCAAGCAGGAGACCCTACACCATTTCTGACAGATGGGAGGTACAAAAGCAGCCCTACTTAAAGAACCTGGTAGTAACCTGGGCATGAACAATGGTGCCTAGTGGCTGATGCTAACCCAGGAAAGCACCTAGCTGCTATACAATTGTGAGAAGCCCACCACACCCCCGAAGAATCAAATATTTTGGGAAATATTAAAAAAGACAGGATAAAATATTTCCCCTAAAGGAGAAATGGGGGGAAAGAAATATTAAGGGAGGCAGAAAACAGCCGAGTTTCCCTGTACCAAGCAGAAACTGAGGAGGCCAAGCTTACAGAAATGCAAATTTGGTCATCCATTCAGAAAGACTGGGTCAGACCAAGACTCCAGATAAGCAACACAATCAGGCAAGCCAAAGGTTGACAAGATTAGCTCAGACAAATACCTAGGATTTGCATTTCCCCGTTCGCCTGTAGAGCCAGCCATGACCCCTACATGACCCCATAGGAATCCAGGAGGTATAAAAACCCACCCCTCTAAACTCCATTTGGTCAGCTGTCCCAGAATCACATGTGGTTGGTGGTTCTGTTCTCCAATAAACCTAATCTTTTCTGTTTATATAATAAACCAATCAGCCTCCGCATTGTTTCCAGCGTCTTTCTCCCAGCTTGGAACTGAACCGGATGGATTTTGCTTCCAACATCAGGAATCACCAAACTTGGCAACTTTAAGACTCTGGCACATACCAGTGTCTTTGGGTACCATAGGTCTGCTGAAGGACCAAGGCGCAATCATGTAAGGCAACTTGGAGACCATCCCTGAAAGTGGGAAGAAGCTTCCAACCCAGTTTCAACAAAATTTTTTACCAGTTTATACAGCAGAAAACCAAAAAGGAATACACAGAACATCAAGGCAAAACTTTCTGGGTCCTACCAGGTTGTTGAAAACGTTGCTCGTACCTGAACAAAATAAAGCCCAGAGATTCGACAGCCGCTCGCCTCACGTCATCGTTGACGTCGCTCACCTATGGGGGAAAAAAGCAGAAATTAAAGTAAGTATATGAAATTGCACACTGGGTTGCCAACCAGTGGGCTGGGGACCACTGCTGGTCTGTGAGAAAATTTTGGTTGCCTGCAGAGAAATGTCCCCCCCCAAAGCAATTAATCCAGGCTGCGCAGGAACAGAAGGCTGTGCCGCCCACATGGCCTGCAGGAACACAAGGCTTGCGTAACTTGCATTGCGAACAACATGAGGTAGTGAGGGGAGGGGGGAAAGGGGGAAGTGGGGGAACTTGCCCCACTCGCCCCACGTGCCTGGCCTGGCCACCGGGCTGCTTCTTATCGCTCCTTTCTGCTTCTGCTTTTGGCTGCATGCAAGGAAAGCAGCCAAAGTCTTTCTTTCTCTCCCCCAAACTCCGCCAGAAATGAGTCTTTGGGACCCTGCAAGGCCTCCTGCTCCAAGAGGCTGCGCCGGCAAAGACTCATTTCTGGTGGAGTTTGGGGGAGAGAAAGGAAGACTTCTGCTGTTCTGCTGCTTTCCTTGCATGAAGCCAAAAGTCTCTCCCTCTCTCCCTCTCCCCAAGAATGGAGCTGGAGGCGGTATCCTGCGATCCCAAATAAAGAATGATCATTCGGTAGGAAAATGGGAGTGGGGAATTTTCCTGCAGACTTTTTGGGGGATTTTCCCAGGGTCTCTGATCCGCGGGATTTAAAATGACGAGTTTGGTGGCCCCTGAGGTCCAAAAGGTTGGCGGCCCCTGGTCTAGAGCATTAATTAGATGCAAGTCAAATTCATCAACAGGATTTGAAATTGTTGGACTAGGTGAGTTCAGCACAAATAAAATCGTATGAGTTGGTTCTGAAAAGTACTATTTATTCCCTATTTAAAGAGTCTCTTCAATGCTAACCTGGAAATGGCTCTTTGTGATTATGAATAGAATTGCAACATGGAGTCTCCCTTCTGAGGCTTATCACACTAAGACGGTGATAAGGAAACGTTCCTCTGATTAATTTTCAACTGACAAAAAAAGCAACCAGCTGCCAAATTAGTAACTAGGGTCTAAAGTGGGTTTTAAACCATAGTTGAATGCAATATCCGGAAGGCAACGCAGCGTTAAGATACGTACCTTTTGCTGCAAAATTATCAATTTACCACAATTCATTCATTCAATTTCTATACTGAATGACAGTCAATGACTCTGGGTGGCTTAGAATTTAAAAAAAAAAAAAAAACTAAATTACAATTAAAAATACTAAAAACATTTTACAACCCAAAAAAAAAAAAAAAGCACTTAAAAGCATCCAAATTAACAATTCAAAACGCACTGATGGTGATGAAACGTTTGCAACCAAATTGCCAAGCTCGGAGCTCAGGCTGACAGCCCAGCTACCAACCTGAGCAGCAATAGTGAGGTTTAAAAAGGTTTTACCACCGTTTTGGTGGGTGTGGCTTAGGTGGTGGGCGTGGCTTGGTGGTCATGTGACTGGGTGGGCGTGGCTTGGCGGTCATGTGATTGGCTGGGCGTGGCCAGCTCAATATCACCCACATTGAGGCACGCACCTCCTCGCCTGGCCTCTCATGACTGTAGGGATGCTGCAACAGTCGTAAGTGTGAAAATGGGTCATAAGTCACTTTTTTCAGTGCCATCGTAACTTTGAATGGTCACTCCACACAAGCAAAGTACCAGCAAAGGAAGGGAAAAAAAACTCCAGAGAAGTTCCTGAGACAGGAAGTCCAGTCCTGCCAAGAATGTAATAAGGGTCAACGGAGAGGCAGTTTCTGTAAGCAACCCCAGAATGTTTCCTTCCTGCCTTCCTTACAGGATTAGCCCTGTAATTTCTTCTAACAACCGGTTCTCCAAACTGCTTAGAATGTTAACAACCGGTTCTAGCCAATAGGTGCAAACTGGTGGAATCCCACCCTTGGTTTACTCCAAGAGGAAGGGGAACTCACCGCCACATGTAACAGACGCCGGATCGCTTTGTTGTTCCCTGAGCCGCAATAAGCCATTGCGACAGTATACATCCCCGAACGCCGGAGAATTGGGTCCTGGAAAAAAGGAAAGCTTTATAAATATCACTGGGGGGGGGGGGGGGGGGGAAGCAAAATTCAGGCCCCTAACAACTGTTTTGCCGATTGCTCAATTTCCAGGAAAGCCGAGAAAGATCTGTATCCCAAGCCCCTGTCAGGGAAGACTTGACTGAGGCGGACTAACAGATTTATTAGATAAAAGAAGATAAGATTTATTGATAGAAGAGAATATTTGTAATTTAGGGTTGAATTGTGGGGTCCTTGGTGCTTTTTGAGGTTCGTTGTTTTCTTGCAGACATTTTACTACCCAACTAGATTACATCATCAGGGCTAGAGGGGAGGGGAGTTTGCTTTGTGTGTGTGTGTGTGTGTGTGTGTGTGTGTGTGTGTGTATGTATGAATGGCCCTGTCAGCAATGGTGGGAGTCTTGTTTTCTTCCTGGTGATTTCTTGATTAGGCTCTTGTTTTCTTATGTTTTCTTCAATTTCCCCCCACAACAGCAACCCTGTGACGTGGGCTGGACTGAGAGAGAAGGATGAGTTCAGGGACACCCAACTTTTAAGGCCTAAAGCAGAACTAGAGCTCAGTCTCCTGATGATTGGTCCAAAGTCACATGACTGGCTTTCATGCATAATGTCGGATTAGAATTCACCGTCTCCTGGTGACTGGGCCAAAGTCACCTAGTCAGCTTTTGTGCTGAAGGCGGGACTAAAACTCACCCTCTCCTGGTGATTGGCCCCAAATCACTCAACTGGCTTTTAAGGTCTAAGGCGGGACTAGAACTCACCGTCTCCTAGTGATTGGCCCCAAATCACTCAACTGGCTTTAAGGTCTAAGGCAGGACTAGAACTCACCCTCTCCTGGTGATTGGCCCCAAATCACTCAACTGGCTTTTAAGGTCTTAAGGCGGGACTAGAACTCCCAGTCTCCTAATGATTGGCCCAAAGTCACCCAACCAGGCTTTCATGCCTAAGGCAGGACTAGAACTCTCAGACTCCGCTTGGCCCGAAGTCACATAACTGGCTTCCATACCTAACGCAGGACTACAATTCACCGTCTCCTGGTGATTGGACCCAAAGTCACCCAACCAGCTTTCATATGCCTAAGGCGGGACCAGAACCCACCGTCTCCTGGTGATTGGCCCAAAGTCACGCAACCAACGTTCATGCCAAAGGCGAGACTTGAACTCATAGTCCCCTGGCTTTCTAGCCTGGGTGCTTTAACCACTACACCAGGGGTTCCCAACCTGGGGTGCGAGACGATATTCCAGGGGGTGCGAGAAAAGTCCAAGTAAATAATAGGATATTGGCTATGTGTTGGCATTTTTATTTTCTTTTGCAATGGATTAACTTAACTGAGCCAAATATAAATTTCAGGGGGGTGCGAGGTTCGAGTGAAATTTCTTTAGGGGTACGGGGCGAAGAAAAGGTTGGGAACCACTGCACTACACCAAACGGGCTCTTGGTGCTCCCTTCTCGTTCTCCAGAGGGCACAAGGTTGGGGATGGACGCTCAGAAGTCAAACGTGAACCCTAAAGAAAGAACCTCCAAGCGGAGATAAGGGCTCACCTTATCCCTGCAGAGGCTCTCGATGAGGGCGTCGGCTTCCTCCATCCTCCCGTACATCACCAGGGCGATCCCAACGGCCAAGCCCCGTAAGATCTTCTCGTGTTGGGTTTCCTGGGCATAGCCCACCATGTCCTCAATTGCCTGGGCGTTTTTGGATCCCAGCATCACAAGGCCTAGGGCGAGACCGGCTGCTTCCCCTTTTGGGCGGGAAAGAATAAAGCGGAATGAAGACAGGTGCACCTCTTCGATCTGAAAAGAATCTTCAGCCCGTCCTTCCACACACCCGTGCCCGCTTTGAGAGGGATGGGCATCGATTCCCAGAATTCCCTCACCCAGAATTACGCGTGATTTATTTTATTGATCAGATTTTTAAAACCGCCCATCTCCCTCCCTGAGGAAGTTGCTGAGATTTTGTGCCCCTTTCTTGCCACAGTTAAGTGGAACCTTGGTAGTTAAGTTAATAACCTTTATTTATTACATGGATCTGACTTCCCCGGAAGGTCGCAAGAGGAGATCACGGGGCACTGCAACCGTCATAAATACGAGTCGGTTGCCAAAACTGTGATCATGCGACCGTGTGGGGAATGCTGCAATGGCCGTTAAGCTTGAAAGAAAGGTGTGTTGTGGTTAGCCGGCTGCAGGTGCGGACGGCTGAGGAGAGCGAGGACTCAAGATGAGGGACCACGGCCATCGGGGAGTGGACTGCTGCCTTCAGAGATGGTGGGGGCTGGCAGGCAGCAATGAGGAGGTTCCCGAGGAGCCTGTGCCCAGTGCGCATGCGCGCAGGATTGCTCTCAGGAAAGAACAGCTACAACAGCATGGGCGACTCGGGAGGAAGGCTGCAAGGTAAGGGCCTCTCCTTCAAGAAGATAAAAGGCAGCTGTGCAGCAAATGTTCTTTGCAGGAAGCAAAGACGTTTTGAAACTCAGCCTCGGGGACATTACAGTTGGTATTTGAAGACTCTTGTGTTGTAAAATATTTCTTATCTGTTGTTTTTTGGCAGCCTTGAAAAAACTTGGCAAGGCTCTTTCTTGTGGGAGCTAATTAGTTGGAAGCACCCTTTTATCTGTGAAGAAACAGAATTCATAGATGAAACGTTAAAAGGTTGTGCTGCTGCCTTTGTCTTGTTTTTGCTCTCTTGGAACCAGGTTTGGGTCAGAACAAAGTAACTTTTTT